GGTGAGGTTTCAGAAATAAAGATTATCAACTACACCAAGCAGCTCATGCCTGTAGTTATGACTACTCATGAGGCTGGAAATCAAGAAGATCATGAACAAGATCAGCTCAGGCAAAAGTTCTCAATACCCCATCTTAACCAATAAATATGATGGGCATAGTGGCGTGCACCTGTCATTCCAGCTACTTGAGAAGCATAAATAAGAGGGTGATAAAGGTAGAGTCCCTATTTTTAAAAAAGGCTGGAACCAGGCACCAGTGACTATAATCCTAGCTATTTAGGAAGCTGATATCTGAGGATCTTGGTTCAAAGCCAGCCTGAGCAGAATAGTCTGTGAGATTCTTACCTCAAATTAACCACAAAAAGCCAGAAATAAGCCAGGCACCAGTAGCTCATGCCTGTAATCCTAGCTACTCAGGAGGTTTGAGATCTGAGGATCACAGTTCAAAGCCAGACTGGGCAGGAAAGTCTGTGAGACTCTTATCTCCAATTAGCCACCAGAAAACCGGAAATGGCACTTTGGCTCAAGTGGTAGAGTGCTAGCCTTGACATGAAGAACTGAGGGATAGCACCCAGGCTCAGAGTTCAAGCCCCACGACCAACTCCAACTCCCCCCCCCAAAAAAAAGCCAGAAGCAGAGCTGTGATTTAAGTGGCAGAGTGCTAGCCTTGAGCATAAAAGCTTTGTGACAACTCCAAGGCCCAGAGTTCAAGCCACAGGACTGGGGGAGAAAATGAGGATAAAGGAAACATGGATTAAGGAAACATGGCCTAAGCACCTGCCTAGGTAGTTCAAGTCCCTGAGTTCAAACCCCACTAGAACCAAAAAATACTGGTTAGGTATTTAGTGAAAACATGTCAAAAAATGAAGCCAAGCAACCATTTGCTAAAGAGCTTGTTAGCACAGGTAATAGCTAGGTGCTATTCATCATACAAGAGAAAAATGGAGCCGGGTGCCGGTGGCTCACACCTGTAATCCTAGCTACTTAGTAGGCTGAGATCTGAGGATCACGGTTCAAAGCCAGCCCAAGCAGGAAAGTCTGTGAGACTCTTATCTCCAAAAACCACTACAAAACTGGAAGTGGCGCTGTGGCTCAAGCAGTAGAAAGCTCGCCTTGAGCTGAAGAGCTGAGGGACTGTGCCCAAGCCCAGAGTTCAAGCCCTACAACTGACCAAAAAAAAAAAAAAAAAAAAAAAAGGAGAAAGAAAAATGGCAAATGGCTCTGCAGACATTTCAAATATCTTAGAGACTGAACCTGTGATTACAGGTTCAAAATACTAAGTGCTGATAACAGAAAGAGATCACTAAGGGGCTGAGAAGGTGGCTCAGTGGTAGAGTGCTTGACTTGCATGCATGAGGCCCTGGGTTCGATTCCTCAGCACCACATAAGCAAAAGAAAAAAGCCGGAAGTGACACTGTGGCTCAAGTGGTAGAGCGCTAGCTTTGAGCTGAAGAGCTGAGGACAGCGCCCAGGCCCAGAGTTCAGGCCCCACGATCGGACCCCCCAGCCCCCCCCAAAAAAAGAGCTCACTGACCAGGGCCACCACCTTCCAGATCCCTGCATCCCACAAGCCCTACCTATGGCTGAAACAGCTTTACATATTGCTTGTACTGAAGCTCGAGGGCACAAGCACTGTCCACATCCATGCGGGACTAATTCTGCAGTTACGAAGAATGCAGGAACTGAAAAGGCATATCTGCCTCTGCTTAAATTCAAAGGATGCAATGTTTCTGTCCAGGCAGAAACTTGGTGTTGGAGTAGAGCTGTCACTGGGACAGTGTCTACTGATGCAGCCATCATGATCCCTGAATAGTAGAGCAGTGTAATGTGCAGTATCTGCTCCGGTGAAAGTTTCAGGCACGAGTATGCAGTCTAACCCAGGAACACAAAGCATGGACAGACTCCATTGAAACCAAAGAGGTGGGACTGCCCAATTTCCACTTTAATGTTTCCCGAAGTTATATATGGGAGTAAAAATTATAGAATCCTAAACTTAATGTCCTCTGGGATTTCGTACTTTCTCAAGGCCCATTACCCCTTCCTTCTGGCCATTTTGGAACAAGAATATCCATCCTACAACTGTCTTTGAATTTTATTGGAACTGGATAGGTTGTTTTCAGTTTACAAGCTCAAAAATGAGACTAGATTTTCAATTCATGTCGGAACAAGTTAAGATTTTTGGGGACTACTGCATTTTGTATTATAAGGAGATGAATTTTAGGAGGGCTGAAAACGGTTTGCCTGGGCAGGAAAGTCCATGAGACTCTTATCTCCAATTAACCACCAGAAAACGGGAAGTGGCGCTGTGGCTCAAGTGATAGAGCACTAGCCGTGCTGAAGAGATTCTGGACAGTGCCCAGGCCTAGAATTCAAGCCCCACAACCAATGGAAGAAAAAAGTATTGTTTCTTGTAACAGGAAAACATTAATACTACAACATATATCCTGTTGTGATTCTCTTATTGCTTATATTTAAAAAGCTCCAAGGGACTGGGATTGTAGCTTAGTGGTAAAGTGCTTGCCTAGTATGCATCAGGCCCTGGGTTCTATTCCTCAGTACCACATAAACAAAAAAAATCATTAAATATCATAATTTTTAAAAATAAAAAAAAGTCCCAAGTTTTTTGCCACCCACTCAAAGATGTCTATGACCATATTTAACTTGTTTTAAGAACCACATCTTTTAAGTGTGGTAAGCCAAGCTCAGAAACAAACAGCGCATGTTTTCTCTCATATGAGAAAGTTAGATCTAATATACACTGGAACATGATCAATTATACAGGACTCCAGACATTCACATAGTGAGAGCAAAGGAGGATAGTCTTAGGAGAGGAACACAAAGGAGCAATGCCTATGTGCAACTGATGATATAAAATAATATTTATTGAAATGAACCCTGGGAAATGGAAAGGTTTTTTTTTTCTTTTTGCTTATGTGGTGCTGGGGAATCGAGCCCAGGGCCTCAGGCATGCAAGGCAAGCGCTCTACCACTGAGCCACCTTCCCAACCCCATGGAAAGGTTTTTTTATAACTGTTTTTGCTTTATTTTCTTTTTGTCTTGTTCATTCATTTATCTGTCTTTGGGAAAGTAAGGGGGGCACAGAAATGGAGGGACAAAGGATGAACAAATACAGCAGTGGTATTCACTAGACACTTGGTTGAAGATGAACTATACACTGTGGGTAGGAATGGGAGGGAAAAACTGGGAGATAGGGAAGGGGTGACACTGTCCAAAAAGAAATGTCATTACTTGATTCATGTAGCTTTAACTGTTCTGTCACAATAGTAGTAGTAGTAGTAGTAGTAACAATATAAAAAGGTCCTGGAAAAGGAATACACTACATCTTTCTAATTTACACCTTATGTTTTAGCTAAATCAATCAGTCACTAAACTTTATGTTTCCCTCATCTCTTCCTCTTCCTTTTCTTGTGTATGCCAATACTGGGACTTGAACTCAGGGAGTTCCAAAGCTTGAGAGTTTTTACTCAAAGCTGGTATAGCTAGAACCAAATCTCCACTTCTGGCTTTTTGCTAGTTAATTCAAGTCTCATGACTTTCCTGCTCAAGCTGGCTTCCAACTACAAAGCTCAGATCTGAGCCTTTTGAGTAGTTAGGATTACAGGTGATAATCACCCACGCTCATTCCATCCCACACTATGCTCTTTGATGGCAGAATTTTAGAACTCCTTATGCATATACCTTTGCATGTATTCATTATTCAACAAACAATTGATAAGTATACCTATGATTAAAATAACTGCTATCCAACTTTTTTTCCTCCAGGTTTCAGGCATGCTAGCAATCAATCTACCAAGGGCCTATACTTCAGCGGTTTTTAGTTCTATTGTGTAAATTTCTTCACACTACCACCCCCCCCCCCCCCCCCCCCCCGCTTAACAACCCACGGTTTCCAGATCACCAAAGGCATTCTGATTCATTGATTCCAACATTGGGGAACTGGGGGAAAAGCAAACTCGGATTAGAAGGGTCGGGGATGAGGGGGGGGTCTCTCAAGAAGAGTTAATGTAGTATCGACTCCTGAATCAAATACTGTGCAGAACACCGGACAACTGTTCGAGTATGTGAGTCACGTGGCTCTGCAGAATGTCGGCGATCGTCAACGTGGTTTCAGGGTCCACGGGTCCACGTTAACAGACCACAGGGCCAGCTCCCTGAGAGTCGTTACTAGCTGCCATATCCAACTCTGCCCGGTTTAAGGTGCTGATGAGGGGTTGGGGAAACGACGACCCACCTCCCTTCAGACCTGGGCAGCGGGTTTCCGGCCTCCCAGAGCCGTGCCCACACGTGGGTGCCCCCACACCCCGAGGGGCGTGACTCACACCTCCCCCTCGCCCATTACCTTCCCTCCGGGCTTCGTCACGGACCCTGCCCCTCGGAGCGGTCACCCCAGTGCGACACTGAGTAAAGACCAGCACAAGTCACCAACCCCCTTTCTCGCCTCAAAGCCTTTACACTCCCCACTCCTCACCTGTTCCGCCGACACGGCCCCCTTCCCCGCACCACTCCCCCCGCTCTTGGCGACTCGACCGCTGCCGTCCGCCATCTTCGCCGCTTACTGGGTTTCCGGCCTGCGCAGAGCAGCCCGCCTTACGTCACATCCGGTCTTGTAGTGACCGCCCACTCGCCCGGGTGATTCTGGCTCCTGGCTGTTCTGCGCCGCGGATCGGATCCTGCGAATCCTCTGGGTTGTATCTTCATGTAGGACCTGCTCTGTGTCCCTCCGGTTGCGGTGAATTCCATCTGCTGTGCTTTGATTTGTGCAACAGAGACTTCCCCCACCGCAGGGAGAGGCGGGAAAAGAATGGTTGGGGGCCGAATGGGTTGGGAGGAGGGGGGTGTCGCAGTTTGGGATCGGGTCGTGTGCCCCTGTCCATGTTGTGGGGTGAGGGGGACTACGAACCAGGGTGAACCTCAGAGAATTTGGTGTAAGCGGGAAGATACGCTTCGAGTCAATAGGACCGTGCGAGTGCGCTGCCGAGCAAAGTTTCCAAAGATGACTTTTGAACTGCGGAAATGTTTGGCAGAGGGAAGGGCTTCAGTTTATTGTGAGATTGCTGTAAGTTGAGGTATTCAGACGCTAAGCTTTGTCCCTTTCCCCCTTCGTCCACATTATGATTTCCTCTCCCTAGCCCTTACCTGCTTAATAGTAAAAAAGTATTTTTGAAGCTTTAGGGGTGGGAGATCAGAGCCCTAATTCTACCTCAAAATGGAGAGGTCACAGAATCTTAGAAAATCATTGCTTGAAGAAGGGTTTGGTGTCCTGATTTCTCACCTTCCTCAGGCTGGGCTTTACCACCAGGCCTTCTCACCAACTCCTGTCCCTTCTGTGTCCTGGATTCCAGAAACCTCGACTCTCAGTACTTTGTGCTCAGTCCAGGTAACATTTTGCTTTGTCTTCACTGCCTAGCACATTGTAGATGTTCACTATTTGTTAGCTGAATGGTAGGAAACAAAGGTGTTAGCCATCACAGAGCAGTTAAAGAGCCCCACTAGCTCTGTTAGTATGCCAGGTAAAAGCAAAATAGAAGTCCAGCTTCCCGCCTCTCCGTCTGAGGCCCTATCATTAAACTTGAGTCTCTCTGTGCTAGGAAATCTGAGATTCTTGCCTGTGCCATTCATAGGCCCAGAGCCATGGCTATCTCTTCTTCCTCCTGGGAGCTGCCCCTGGTGGCTGTATGCCAGGTAACATCGACACCAGACAAGCAACAGAACTTTAAAACATGTGCTGAGCTGGTTCGAGAAGCTGCCAGATTGGGTGCTTGCCTGGCTTTCCTGCCTGAGGCATTTGACTTCATTGCTCGGGACCCTGCAGAGACACTACATCTTTCTGAACCACTGGATGGGAACCATTTGAGCCAATATACCCAGCTTGCCAGGTATCAGGAAGTTTGGGGGAGAGGTAAAATCTTTGTTGAAAACTGTTGCTGGGTTACCAGATATGGGAGTAGAGTCTTGAGACAAGATGTTAGTGTCCCCTCCCTTTCACCAGGGAATGTGGACTCTGGCTGTCCTTGGGTGGTTTCCATGAGCGTGGCCAAGACTGGGAGCAGACAAAGAAAATCTACAATTGTCATGTACTTCTGAACAGCAAGGGTATGTCTTAAATTTCTTAGGGTTGCCTCTTCCAGGTTCTTCCATCTAAATTCAATATTCTCCAGAATTGTTTTCTCTACTCTTATTTCTTTAGCATAAGGTTTTAAGTTTTTTCACTTGGGAGAAGAGCTAAACAGGGCTTCTAGAATACTTGCACTCATTTCTTCTCCATCTTCTAGGATCAGTAGTGGCCACGTACAGGAAGACACATTTGTGTGATGTAGAGATTCCAGGACAGGGGCCTATGCATGAAAGCAACTCTACCATGCCTGGGCCTAGTCTTGAGGCACCTGTCAGCACGCCAGCAGGCAAGGTGGGAATTGGAAGAGGATGAAAGTGGGAGAGGAAAAAGAGGGGAGTAGGAATATACTAAAATGTGTGGATAGAAAGCCCTGACTGGGTTTACTGGAGGTAATAGAACTGTAACAAGACAGGGAGACTTAAGTAGGCTGTTTTTCATTTCAGATTGGTCTAGCTATCTGTTATGACATGCGGTTCCCTGAACTCTCTCTGGCATTGGCTCAAGCTGGAGCAGAAATACTTACTTATCCTTCAGCTTTTGGATCTGTTACGGGCCCAGCCCACTGGGAGGTAAGAGGGATACCTCTTCAAAACCTAAGGGCAGCCAGGCACTGGTGGCTCATACCTGTAATCCTACTTAGGAAGCTGAGAGCTGAGGATAACAGTTTAAAGCCAGACCAAGCAGTAAAGTCCTATCCCCAGTTAACCACCAGAAAACCAGAGGTAGAGCTGTCACTCAAAGTGGTAAAGCACTAGTCTTGAGTTGGGGCTCAACATCATAGACTACTAGCCTTGAAGGGACAGTGGCCAAGCACTGAGTTCAAGCCCCATGACCCACCAAAAAAAAAAAAATCTAAGGGCTTTATTTTAACCACATTGTCTCTTGTCCCATCCAATTGATTTTCTTCCCACATAGTGGGAAAATTAATTTCCCAGATAGTTGCTGTTCATAGTCATTAAAGAAGTACTTTGTTCCTTAAGCATTACCAAAATGGTCACATTGGACAAATCTGTGGTACCAACTTCCTGTTGCTTCCCCAGCCGTTGTCTGTGTAGTTGAGTGATCAAGCATCTCATCCTCAGGTGTTACTGCGAGCCCGTGCCATTGAAACCCAGTGTTATGTGGTGGCAGCAGCACAGTGTGGACGCCATCATGAGTCGAGAGCAAGTTATGGCCACAGCATGGTGGTGGACCCCTGGGGAACAGTGGTGGCCCGTTGTTCTGAGGGGCCTGGCCTCTGTCTTGCCCGAATCAACCTCAGCTATCTGCGACAGATACGCCAACACCTGCCTGTGTTCCAGCATCGCAGGCCTGACCTCTATGGCAATCTGGGTCACCCACTGTCTTAAGGTTTTTGACTTAAGACCTCCATTGTGAGGTTGTGCTGCTATGACTTATAGCAGGACCCAAACAGCTCCCCTCATTTAGAGAACCTTAAGCTGGCTTAGTAGAACACAAATTCAACTTCTTGGGAAGAAAAACTTTGAGCTGAGTTCAGATTTCAGTTTCAGAAAAGTGTAATTTTATATAGTCACTGTTTATTTCATGAAAACTGAAGTGATGCTGAGGGCCAAGCAGCACTGGAATTGTAAAAATAATAATAATCATAATGTCTGTGTCTGGAGATCTCTTTTGGGAGCTGGAAGGGTGGTATTGTACCTGCTGTACTAGGTCCAGTTCTAGGTCTCCTGGCTTACTCAACATGCCTCCCTACCTAAAAAAAAAAAAAAGTGCAACACTCAGTGCATTTCCTAGTCCCATTCTCCCAGGTATGAGAGTGGGAATAGGGGTAGAGGAGGGAGAAGGGAATAAGGAGGAATTGATACCAAATTATTTTACTTTCTCCTATAGTGCCCTTTGCCCAACCAGAAGCAAGAGGGCTTGAACATAATGTCACACTCCCCCTTCCCCTTTTCAGAGGGAGTATATTATAGTCAGCAGCTTCTACTCCATCCACTGTATGGAACCCATAACAGACCGGAGGGATATTATGACCTTAATCCTCCTGTTACTTCCTTGAAGAGGGTTTGACAAAGAGGAAAAAGGAAGGAACCATACCAGGCAGCAGTTGCAAGCCATGGAATGGAGGAAAGGCAGAGAGGAGCAGCACCAGAGGCCAGGAGAGAGTGGAAAGGGCCATAGCTTGTTTAAAAAAAAAAAAAAAAAAAAAATTCTGTAATTTGGAAGAAGGTGGTAATTAATTTCCAAAATACACCTTCCCACCTTCCACACAGCTTCCTTACTCACAGCCCTTTGGTTTTTCAGACAAAATTTTAAGAGCCCTCATAAAGCCAGAAGTATTGATTACCCCCTCAATGCACCCAAAAGCAGTGTTGACTTCAATCCCTTACAAAGACTATGATCTATAGACTTTGATTCTCCCTATACATTTGTCTTACGGCTCAGTGGTAAGGTGGCTGTAGAGACGCACATTAAGGGATAAGTGGAAACTGGAAACAAAGGGAAAGCCCAGGCACATGGGTGCAGGGAGGGATGGGGAACACCACTTCCACTTTCCTTTGTCTTTTCCTTTAAAAAGAAGAAGAAGAAAAAAAAAAGGCAGGGGTGGGTGTGATTGATTGGAAGGGGAGAGAACAAACCCCAGAACAGTATATAAGCTCCAGAGGTGGGTGTTGGGAACAGTCTCCAGAGAAGTGAGGAAGGGAAAGGTCAGGGCAGTGCTTGAAGCATCAAGTTCCTCAGGAGTTTCTGTCGGCCCAGCTCATAGTCCTCCTCGTCCACATTCACCAGCAGCTTGATGGCTTCATGGCCCACAGCTTGCTTGAGGGAGTCTGTGATGAAGACACCTTTAAGTGCCTCTAGTAATGAGCCATTGATGTAGTCGCGCCAGAATGCGTCGAGGTAGGTGAGCTCAGAGAACTTGATGTCACAGATGATGGAGCCCAGGTCCCGGGACTTGAGGATGGTGTTGGCCTGGTTAAAACGCTCAAACTGGCGCTCAAGTGGGTCCTGCTTGTTAGAGAAGACATTTCCCTGCAGAGCAGTTTCATGCTGGCAGTATTCAGCCCGAACCCGCAGTCTGATGTCTGTTGGAAAGGAAAGATAGGAACAGAAGAGGTTACAGTGGGGAATGTGTTTACAACTCATTTGAAAAGAACAGCAAAGTAGCAGTCTTTACTGTCAGCTTCTCTGTCTCCCAGGACTAGCTTCCCCTAACCCCCGCACATCCTGGGCCTTGAACTCTGGGCATTATCCCTAATCTCCTTTTGCTCAAGGATAGTATTCTACCCTTGAGCTACTATACCACTTCTGGCTTTTTCTGTGATTAATCGGAGATAAGAGTCACAAATTTTTTTGCCCAGGCTGGTTTTGAACCACGATCCTAGATCTGTTTTCTGAGTAGCTAGGATTATAGGCCTGAGCCACCGGCAACCAGCTTAGTTTTGTTTTTTTATTATTTTTTTAATGCATCTTTGAAATTCTTGTTTCCCTTAAATGGGATATATCCAGGTCAGCACTATTCCCATTACTCACAATCAACACTTTCATAATAGGAGGTATTTTCCTAATTAACAGACAAGTTCATTTTAATACTCGATCATCCTATATCAGCATCCCACAAAGGACTCTTCCCAGCAACTATAAACTATTCAACTTTACTTTGTAATAATGAAGAACCTTGCACTAAATAGCATAGACTATCCAGTATTCCAGATGTTCTTTTTATTTTCTTTCAGCCCTACACCTCTGAAACCCTTGAACTTCCTCACCACACGTCTGCTTTTCCTTGGGATCTGGTGTCACTGACTTCCGGCGTTTTCGCTGGCTCCCAAGTGTAGCTCTCCCTCTGACTGGCCGCTTACTACACATCTGAGGACCCGAAGTGGGACAGCACACCACGGGATAGTGGGGAGGCACTAATCAGGAGGCAAAATGGAAGAAAACACAGTAGAATAAAAGCAGAAGTTCAAATATTTATGTGGGAATTCAGACTTAGCTCTAAAAGTGGTATCAATAATGTGACTTCAGGCTTGGGATTGGTTTGGCGGGGAACAGTGCTTGCCTAGCATTCCTAAGGGCCTGGGTTTGATCCCCAGCACCTTAAAAAAAAAAAAAAGCCAGGCACTGGTGGCTCACACCTGTACTCCTACCTACTCAGGAGGCTGAGAGCTGAGGATCACAGTATGAAGCCAGCATGGGCAGGAAAGTCCTTGAGACTCTTGTCTCCAATTAACCACCAGAAAACCAGAAGTGGCACTGTGGCTCAGGTGGTACAGTGCTCAACTTGAACTGAAGAGCTCAGGGACAGTTCATAGGCCCAGAGTTCAAGCCCCACGACTGACCAAAAAAAAAAAAAAAATTTGTGCTAGCCAGGTCCAAGAGCTCACACCTGCAACCCTAGCTACTCAGGAGACTGAGATCTGAGAATCACAATTCAAAGCCAGCTGGGACAGTAAAATCTGTAAGACTCTTATCTCCAATAAGCCATTTAAAAAAACAAAACAAAACAAACTCAAGGATGGCACCAGGGCACAAAAAAAAAAAAAAAAGCTGTGCAAGATGGGCTAGACTGCAAGTTCTTAGCCAGCCTGGGCTATACAGCACAACTATCCAAGACCAAGACCAGACTTAGGTAAAGCACTAACACTTCACCTGATTTTTTATGTGGTAGATATAGGGTAACAACATCCACTCATTTAAGCTGAATAAGCCAGAAATGCTTGATTACAAAAACTAGTAATAGTAGTATCTTCTTACCTGTTTTAGAGGGTTGGGGAGACCTTGGTTCTGGATCACTGAGGGTTCTAGGGGTCACATAGCGAATCGATGTCTCCTCCAGATACTTGTCTACAAGATCAGGGCACACTGTAGAGGAAGAAAGAGTCATTCAAGAAAAAAATACACCCCTTATCCCAATGGGCCTCATAACTTATACTCCTCTAAGTATTCCTTAGTGTTAAGGCTGCCTCCCTTTTAAGATTCCTATCCTGTTCATTCCTGGCCTCTCCCAATTCTTTCCTGATTCAAGTCCCCAGGCCCAGGTAAGCCCTCACCAGCCCGTCTCTTCTTGAGGGTGACATAGGGTAACAGGTCATGGCGAGTGATGATGCGCAGCAGCTGCAGCACCTGGCGAAAGTTACTCTCGTCACAGCGGCCCTGGCGCTCCAGTGCCAATAAGAAGTCACGTCCATTTCGGATGAGTCCACGTTCATGGTCGTCAATAACATCAACAAAGAGAAAGGAAAGCACTCGTACATCTCTGTGTGTCAGGTGTGTGCCCACAATGTCAAACATACGGTGCAGGGTATAGAGCCCATGCTCCTGTTCACCATGCTCTTCTGGCCACACCTGGCTTGCCTGTCGCTTTAGGCCCGCCATGCTGGGGGCTCAGAGACAAAATCCTTGCCAGAATCCCTGCTCAGCAGCTGCAATCCCCAGGATACTGTAAAGACAGAATGAGAAGTTCAGAGACAATGACAGCCAACTAGTTTAATTTCAGTGAGCCTTACATTATGCCTGTCACAGTACTGCTAAATGCATGCTTGTTAAGTACTTTTATTTTTTTGCCATTACTGAGGCTTGACCTAGACACTGTCCCTGAGGTTTTTGCTCAAGGCTAGCACTTTACCACTTGAGCCACTTTCAACTTTATGGACGCTCACTGGAGATAAGTCTCAGACTTTCCTGCCCAGGCTGGCTTCAAACAGTAATACTCAGATCTCAACATCCTAAGTAACTAGGCTTACAGGCATGGGCCACTGGCACCTGGCAATACTTTTAAAGTATTAATTTAATTTAATTAATGTATTTCATAGTACTGTCCCTTAACTTTTTTTACTGAAGGCTGGTGCTTTAGTACCTGAGCCACATCTCGACTTCTGGCTTTTTGCTGGTTAATTGGAGATAAGAGTTTTACAGGCTTTTCTGCCCAGGATTGGCTTTGAACTTTATAATCTTTTCAAATGTCAGCCTCCTGAGTAGCTAGGATTATAGATTTGAGCCACTGAACCCTGGCTTTTTTTTTTTTTTTTTTTTGGTCAGTCATGAGGCTTGAACTCGGGGTTTGGGCACTATTCCTCAGTTCTTCAGCTCAAGGAGTGTGCTCTACCATTTGAGCCACTTCCGGTTTTCTAGTAGTTTATTGGAGATAAGAGTCTCATGGACTTTCCTGCCCAGGCTGACTTTGAACCATGATCCTCAGATCTCAGCCTCCTGAGTAGCTAGGATTACAGGTGTGAGCCACCCCAGCTGGAGCCTGGCTTTAAAGTATTTATTTAACAAAACAAACCCTAGCCAGTTGCCAGTGGGTCCTAGCTACTCGGGAGGCTGAGATCTGAGAATTGTGGTTCAGAGGCAGCCCAGGCAAGAAAGTCCCCTGGAGACTCTAATTGCCAATTACCCACTCAGAAACTAGAAGAAAAGCTGTAGCTCCAAGTGGCAGAGCACTCACTAGCCTGAGCAAAAAGAGCCCAGGGACAGCATCCTGGTTGACTTCAAGCCCCATCACAAAAAAAAAAAATCCAAAAACACCAAAACACACACAATCACACACAAACTCTAAAACTCTCCATACCCAATAATTAATCCTCTAATTTGAGATCTATTGAAAGAATACAGACATTTCCCCTAAATGAAAATGTTATATGCAATTT